GGTCAGTCAGCCGGCTGTAAATCCGGAGTGGCTCTGCTGCAGTGGATGGGCTTACTGCACGTTTATACTGGCGTCCCTGGGCATTGATGCATGCAGGCCAGTGACCCCTCAGACCGGCCTCGGAGCTGGAGCTCGCTCTGTCCGTGCTGTGTGGAGCGATGGTTCATCTCATTACTCCATGGGTGCACGCTGGGGGCCCCGGAGCGGGCCCAGTGACTAAACCTGGCCATTGCTGCCAGCACTGGCCCCAGCCTCGTGCACCGGCTCCTTTCCTGCCCGTAATTCCTCTCCCCGGAGGGGAACCGCCAGGGCTCTGCGAGTGCTCGCGGGGGGCCACGGGGCAGCCTCGCCTCATGCAGCTCTTGGGGCTGAGCACAGAACCGCCGCCCTGCCCGAGGGGGGAGCCCAGCGAACCCCCAGTGGGTTCCACGCCAGAGAGAGCCGGCCCCTCGGGAGCCTCCTGGGCCTGCCCTCTCCAAAGTGGGATAACCAGCCGACCTGAGCAGCGGGTGCAGGGAGGGAGCATTCCTGGGGGCTGTGGTCTGAGGGCGATGGCTGCTGTCAGCTCAGAGCGTGATTCTGTGAGAAGCGGCTTCCGCAGGCTACCAGGCCAGGGGCCCGGAGCGGCAGATGGGGCGCGGGGAGGGGGCACAGGTTGGGGGTGGAGAGGGGCACCGCGATCTCTGCTTGGGCTGCTGTGGCCAGGACCTCCCTTCACAGCAGCCCCCTCAGCATCTAGCTATGTCGGGGGCCCTGGGCCCAGCAGGGAGCCCCCTGGCACTGCCACAGCTGGGGATGCTGGCTCAGAGCAGGGCCCCCTCCCCAAGAGGGGAAAGAGCAAAGTGGGGGTCCCATGGGACTCGCTTTTTGGGGCCAGGCGGTGGGTGCCCCATGGCTGAGCCACCAGGCGGGGTAACTGGGCTTCCCCAGTGCAGCGCCGCGCTCTGCCCCGCCAGCCTCTAGCACTCCGGCCATACTCACAGCTGTCGCTGGTAGTACCTCCGCAGGAAGGCGTGCGGCGCTGCCCCCACGGCAAAGTTACTGCTCCCCGTGTCCACCAGAATGTTCAGCTGGGGAAGGAGAGGGGGGAGCCACGTTACTTAGGAGCAGGAAAGGTCAGTGCTAGTACCGCCCCACCCCTGCCTGGCTCCGTGGGGTAGCCAGCCCCTGCCATGGCCTGGCCTCTGGTGCGCTCTGGGCTGTTAATGCCTTAGCTTTGAACGTTTGCATTTATCCACAGGGTGGGGAGAGTGGCAGTGCCCAGATTTCCTCTGCCCACACCCTGTGCCCCAGGGGCCTCCCCGGTGCCCAGTCCTGAGTCCCCCAGCTCCAAAGCCAGCTGGGAACGGCCCTTGCTGTCACTATTCCCAGGGAAGCCTCAGACTTCAGCTCTCCAGCCCCACTCCCTCCGGCTGTCTGCAATCAGCCTCTGCAAGCGGGGGGAGGAGGGGGTTGCTGCGGCAGGACACCCGACTCCTGCCACCTTGCAGGAACCAGCCCACTCAGCAGCATGGCTAGGCACTGCGGAGGTATCCACTTCCCTGCGGGGCAGGGCGGGAGAGCCAGGACTGCACCAAGGGCTCCGCATTACTCTGGCGGGACACCCTGGGGGGCGCCAGGCATGGTGCAGCCAAGCTCCGGGGGCTTAAACCGGAGCCCAGGGAATGGCTGGCTGCATCAGACCAGGGGTCATCCAGCTCAGGGCCTGCTCTGCCAGTGGCCGGCCCCGCAGCTGCACAAGGAATTCCCCCTCTAGGACACTTCTGGGACTCCAGGCCCCCTGGGAAGGGTCCCTCCCTGGGAATCGCCCCCAGCCACCCTCACCCTGTAACTCCTGCCCGGGCCCCCTTCGGGGCATTGGGTCCCGCGCTGATGTGGAAGGAAGAGTCCAGTCCAGTGAACCAGTGTCCCCACCTATGCCCGGCAGTGCCAAGTACGGGCTCAGCTTGACCCCCAAGGTGCCGGGCAGGGGGATAGATGGGCATTCAGAGGCACGAGGGCAAAGGTCGAGCAAATCCCTTCAGTCACCCGAGTGAGGAGGGTGTTCCCTGAATGCCCACCAGTCCCACACTCCCAGGGGAGCAATGGCAGAGCAGGGCGAGCGGAACAGAGGGAAGGAGACCAGCTCCAGGCCCTGGTGACATACCCTGCTCAGAATCCTTCCCATCAATTTGCACAAAGGGATCTGGCTACTGCCCCTAAACTCCAGGCGGACCCTTGCCCCTTTGCAGGCTCAGCCCTTGCAATGGGGCAGGGGGAGATGCTCAGTTCCACTGGGTATCGTTCTACTCCAGAGCCTCTGCCTGCTGATTTGCCAAGACTGCCTTGTCTCACAGCCCCCAGAGGGGCTTCTGCTCTTCCTCTGCAGAGCCAGAGGGCACTTGCGCTAATCAGAAATTCACGCCGGCTGCAGCGGGGAGAGTTGTCCCAATGAAGCTCTGACACCAGGGTCTCAGCACTGCACCTCCTAGAGCAGGCTTTTCCTATTGCCACTGCCTCAGCGCGCTGCTAGCTCAATGCCGTGCGACGCACCACTGCCTCAGCGCGCTGCTAGCTCAATGGCGTGCGATGCACCACTGCCTCAGCGCGCTGCTAGCTCAATGCCGTGCGACGCACCACTGCCTCAGCGCGCTGCTAGCTCAATGCCGTGCGACGCACCACTGCCTCAGCGCGCTGCTAGCTCAATGGCGTGCGACGCACCACTGCCTCAGCGCGCGGCTAGGCCAATGGCGTGCGACGCAC